AAACTAATCCCAACCCCCCATTTTCATTTTTTCATTTTTCCCAACCCCAAAACCCTAAAAAAAAAGCCACCCGCCCCCTGTTGCATCGTCTTCTTCGCAGCCCTCCCTTGCCTCCTCACCTCCATCTCCAGCTCCAAGCCACCACCCCCATGGCAGCTGCTGCCTCACCAGCTACCCCAAGCGACCCCTCCAGCAGCAACCAAGCAACCACCCCCATAGTTGTTGCTTCACTCAGCTTCGTCCAAACAACCCCTCAAGCTCCCATGGTTGCCATTCTCACGTCCACCACGACCACGTCGTCACCACCCCAGCTCCACCATGACGACCAGTACCTCACCCATAACACACACAGTCGTCTTCAACAGCCTCCCCATCGTCCATATAATCCCTCACGTCCAGCTCCAACAACCAGCTCCCATGGTTGCTGCTTCTTCTTCTTCATCTCCGCTGCCTCGTCGTCCTCAACCAGCAGCTTCATAACCATCGTCGAGGTCGTCCTCAAACAACCAACTTCATCCTCTTCGTCGAGCTCACCCCAAGTCGCCGAAAAAAACCATCGCCAAACCACCAACTCCCTCACGACAAGCAGCGCTGCTATTGCTTCTTCTTCGTCAGCAAACTCCGTCGCCAGGCAGCACGTCGAGCTTCATCTCACGTCGAGATCGTTGGCAGTCTTGGTTCGAGTTTTCCGTTTCCGTTCAAGTTCGTTATTGTTCATTTCCGGTTAGTTAGTTTAAGTTTCCTTTCTGTCCGTATTTTGTTTTGATATTCTCGGATCTGAAATCAGTATATGTTTGTTTCTTTCTTGTTCGTGGTTAATCATTTCTTGATTATTTCTTCAGTTTGTTTTTATTCATTTAAAAGAATTTAGTTTTAATATAGAAGTGTGTTAGTTTAATAACTTGAATCCTTCATCTTGGTTGTAATATTGTTAGATTTAGTTTGAGGTTCAATTGATTATTGAGTTTAGTGATTTGAATCTCTTTGTTTGTTCTGTTTAAGTTTAATTTGAATTTGAGCTCAATGATTTGAATATACTTGTTTGTTATTGTTGTTGAATCTGAAAGTAGGTTTGTTGTTAAAAAATATTGTTCAGTCAAAATAATTCCAGCTGTTTCTTTGTTGTTCATCATTTAGTTTGAATTTGTTGTTTGAATTTGATTAGGAATTGGTTATAGCTGCTGTATTTTGGTTAGAATTGATTAGGTGAATTGGTTATAGCTGATGGGGTAGAATGGTAAATTGCAGTATTTTCAGGGGTAGAATGGTAATTTCAGTAATTTTAGAGTGGAATTGAAAATTTTAATCTGAGTGTTCCGTCCACTAGGTACTAATAATATTAAATTAATATATTTTTTAATACGTAGTTGGGGACAAGACATAATGGTGGGTAATTAATACATTGTTTAATATAGTTGGGGACAAAGCATGTGGTAGTGGGGAATAATAGAATTAAATAAAGAAAAGATATGTGTTAGTTGGAACTAATATATTTGTTTAATATAGTGGGGGACAAAACATTAAGTAGTGGAAGTTAAAGGGGGATGGGTGGAAGATGGTGAGATTTTAATTTTAAATGCTTGAAGTTTGGCTATAAATAAGGGGTCTGGATATTGGAAGAAAGGGGAGAATTCCGAAAATATTGAGGGGGATTCCAAAAAATTGAAAGGGGATAGGGGATTGACTGAATATTGAGAAAACATTTCGAAGGATATTCGAAAGAAAGAGTAGTATACACCCGATATACAATCTGCATACACTGGATATACAGAGGGGTCAAGATTTAAGGGTTAAACATTAACTGGTCTTTCAATCTAAAAAAGATTCACCTTGTTTCTGCCCGTTGATTGTTGTTGGTGTTTCGGAATTTTCATTGGATTAGTTTCCTTGAGTTTGGTTGGTTATTTGCTACTACTTCACTGGTTGTTGCTGGATTTCTGCTCGGTTTTTAAATCTGTTGCTGGGTGTTGCTGTTGTTATATGCTACTGCATTCCTGCTGATCTTCCTTTTCTTTTGCTTCCAATATCAGGTACACAACTGACACGCTGGTTACTGTAAACTGAAACATGAAGCATGAATATGAAATGAAGAGTTGAAGTTCTGAATTTATCTTAGTTATATTCTGAATTTTATTTGTATATATACATTATTTAGCTTCCTCAAATCAGAATCATGTAGTTGTTTAATATATATAATGGAACATCTGACAGTAGCTTAGTGGACGAACTGTCTATGTATTGCCTAAAAAATAAATAAATGGTGTAGTAACTCTGTCTAGTTAGTTCGTTATTGTTGGATGATTATCACGTCTCAAAGAGCATGTTAGCTGATTTAGACTATTCTTAAACATTCAACAGTTAGCTCATTAAACGAATAGACCGTTTCAGAACTTGTAGGAATATTGTTTAGCTAGATACTATTGGTTAATTTCAGCATGTAAATGGTCTATGATTAAAATTAGATTCCCAAGTTTTTTTTTTTTAATTTAACAGCTCGTAAGCATGTAAATAAATTAGGACCTTTTCCCTTCATTTTTTAGAGACAAATTTAATAGAAAAAATGTAGGCACTGTAGGATTATCCTTTTAAAATAAATGAGATGAGCCTCACCCAATAAAACGCACAAGTTGCGGGGCCCTCAATAAATGGTTAATAATTGTATAGACTTCGGGATCGGTCATTTAGCAAATTTCACGGCCTTACCCAAAATAATGATACGCTAGTCGCTTTAGACGCGCCTTTAACAATTTATTCTCTTAAACTCGGGTGCACATTTATGTGACCCAAATCCAAATCTCAACAGAGTCGAAATATGTCGATAACCACGGGTACATTGATGTGACGTGGTTCGAGATATATTTTCACGATGTTGCAATTCTCGATAATAATAATAATAATAATAATAAAAGCGGTTAAAATTTAAAATTCGCACATATGTTCAACATGTATTATATCAGATAATCAAGCCGAATATGACAGTTGAGCGACCGTGCTAGAACCACGGAACTCGGGAATGCCTAACACCTTCTCCCCGGCTAACAGAATTCCTTATGCGGATTTCTGGTGCGCAGACTGTTAAACAGAGTCAATATTTTCCTTGATTCGGGATTCAACCGGTGACTTGGGACACCATAAATCCCCCAAGTGGCGACTCTGAAATAAATAAATAAATCCCGTTTCGATTGTCCTTTAATTGGAAAAACTTCCTTCTGCGTCCCTTCGTGGCGGCGCGGGCGAAAAAGGAGGTGTGACATATATATATATATTTATATCCTACAAAAGCGACCAGCTTTGGTCGCCTTTTGGTCAAACGGTCGTTGGTCGCTATTTTGGTCAAACAGTCTATACTTAGTGAATAGTATATCATAAGTATATATATTATATATATATATAAGCTATATTCGATACGGTATTACCTAATACACTTATACTTAGTGCATAGTATAGCGTAAGTACATATATTATATATATAAGCTATATTCGATACAGTATTACCTAATACACTTATACTTAGTGAATAGTATAATGTAAATACATATATTATATATATATAAGCTGTATTCGATATAGTATTACCTAATACATTTATACTTAGTGCATAGTATAGCGTAAGTACATATATTATATATATATAAGCTGTATTCGATAGAGCATTACCTAATACACTTATACTTATTGCATAGTATATAGCGTAAGTATATATATATATATAAGCTATATTCGATACAGTATTACCTAATACACTTATACTTAGTGCATAGTATATAGCGTAAGTATATATATATTATATATATAGACACACACGCCCGCTTCATAGTACTATTCATCCCTTGTATTACAAAAGTGTTAACGACTTACATTTATATTATTTACATAGTAAATACAAAAGTGATTTTTAATTTTGACTATATAGAGACCAACTTTAGTCGCTAACTGTAAATGAATTTAATTTAGCGACCAAAGTTGGTCACTAACAGTACATGAATTTANTTGACAGATCAAATTTGGTCGCTAATTTTTGATCGCTTTTTACAGGAATTCTAGTAGTGTCTCCGTGTAACTTACAGGTTATTGGTTCGAACTATGAAAGCAGTCATTAATGCTTGTATGGACCGTTTATATTTGATTCCTTGAAATGCGTACCTTTCCCAAACCAACCTTTAATTAATTCTTGAGGAACAGTTAACTTGTTCATTCAAAATCATTACCTATATTGTACAAAAATATCAACTACCTGTACGTGGATCCCGAAAAGAATGCAGTTTACTGTAACCAAAAACGTTAAAACAAAAATTTTAAAAAATCAGAAAATGAAAAAGAGAGGGCAAGTAAACAGTCAGCCGCTATGATTACAGACATGAAAAATACTTATTGGTGTGTACAGGGAACCACAATAACAGCTTGAAGTACAGAGTTCAATGATACATCAGAGTATTGACATGTGGAGAGAGCCCACCTTCTTATAAGTTTAGTCTGAATCTCAACTTCTTTAAAATTGACAAGAGATCCACTTATAATAATTACTGATAGAAGTGTCTTCAGCATTGTGGGATCTGTCTGTAAGTAGCCAGTGAGCCAGATTCTTGCCAGTTCTTGTGTTATTTGAACTATAGTCAAAAACATCTTCCTAAAATTTTGGTGTACAGCCAATACTTATATCGGTTAGAAATATATAAAAGGATAGCTTAGTGCACTAAGCTCTCGTTATGTGCAGGGTCCAGAAAAGAGCCAGATCACAAGGATCTATTGTATGCAGCCTTATTCTACATTTTTGCAAGAGGTTATTTTCACGGCTCGAATCCGTGACCTCCTGGTCACATGACAGCAACTTTACCAGTTATATCAAGGTTCCCCTTCATCTAAATAATGAGTATGTAACTCATAAAATAATCGAAGTGTGCAGAAACTAACACGACACAATTTTTCTTTAAAAAGAAGGGAGCCAAGACTTTTTCTTATGGGCTACTCATTTAGAGCTAGAACTATATTTTGTAATAGGAAAAATGATATTGTATAAACGATTTCAAAATAATAGCCGAATATATATATGTGTGTGTGTGTGTGTGTGTGTGTGTGTGTGAATATTATATACAAAATATATACTAATTTTATACACTTTTGCATCTACCGAATATAAATAATTTCAACCGCGGACTAAAAGTGATCTTTGCCGTTGTAATACCAGTTTATGCATTCATGTTGTGTTTCTAATAAGATTTAGGAAGCGAGCACAGTGGCATACATATTTGCAGTATTGCAACGAGCGAAATATTTTGAAGTTCGCACTGGTCTGCATCAACACTGCGGTAATAATACCCACACCATCAATGAATCCAGAAGATTATGTTCGCGTGGGAAATGATCGATCTATCACTTGCCATACTCACATGTCATGAAGTGCTTTCAATCTGTTGGTTTTGCGGCGACGAGGTATGTTGATAAAGAATATAGTGCGTAAACATCCATAGTGGCCACTTCCAACTAGTGGGTGCTGAGCATTATTTGCCATCAGAACCATTTAAAATGATATGTAACAAGGATTATGTATGTCGCCGGCAAGTGCAAAAAAGAAACGCAGATATGGAACCAAATGGATTTTGGTGATATTGTTTATGCACGTAAATGTGGTATACGTTCCCAAACAGGACACGATCGCCGTGAATGGCCTTCAGTTGGTTAGGGAAGAAGTGATAATTCAGCTCCCGGTGGCGGTTCATCCTGTAGACAT